CTCTGCTCAAAACAGATGAATGAAGGAAAGGAAAGCGTAAAATTTCAAGTCAGTCTTGGGTCTTGAGCTAGTGCAGTTGTGGAGACAAACCTAAGATTAGACAAAAGGAGACAAAAGGCTTGTCTCTCTGCAGTAATGAGCAATACTGTAGTTATGCCCTGTGTCATCAGTGGTGACACCCATCAATTTGATGGAGACTCCTTCCCCCACAAGAAAACAAAAGCTTGTGTTGAATTATTCTGGGGAAACAAAACAAAACAAAACCAAACAGACTATTACTACAGAGTCAAATAGCTACCCCAGGATAGCAAGAGTTGTGCTAAGGCTTGAGGTATATTAGTATAAACACATGTCAGGCACCTACCAATAGCGCTGGCTGAATGGCCAGTGACGGAGTCCTGCAGGAATTTCCTGGAGGAAATTAACACTGTGCTTCATTTTCTCTGTAAGCCTCTATGCTTCTTATTTTCTTTTTAAGAAAGAGGGTCCTATAAATTTAATAACTATTAGTGATTCTGCTTTTCCACTATAATCTTAAAAGTCTACTGTTTGTTTTACTAGACAACTCATTTTAGTCTCTACAATGTGACAAGTTTTACCGTGCATTTATTTTTAGCACTTCATGAGTAAATGAAGCATTAACAAATCAGCCAATTAAATATAATCAAGTACATAGCTCAAGTATACGGCAACTCATAGAAAATTGCTGTGACTTTCAGTTTGGAAGGACTCCAGCTGAGAAGGACTCCCATTAAATGCGGCACTGCGGGTGCTGCCTGGGTTGCAGGTGCCGGAGCACTTTTCAGCTTGCCGGGATTTTTCTCCACAGCTTCACAAAACACATTGACAGAGTCAGGTTATAGAATCACAGAATCACAGAATGCYGAAGGTTGGAAGGGACCTCAGAGGTCATCGAGTCCAACCCCCCTGCTCACACAGGGTCACCTAGAGCACGTGGCACAGGGCTGCATCCAAGCGGGTTTTAAAGATCTCCAAAGAAGGAGACTCCACAACCTCTCTGGGCAGCCTGTGCCAGGGCTCTGTCACTCTCACTGTCAAGAAATTTTCCCTAAAGTTCCTGTGGAACTTTTAGTGCTTCAGTTTGTGGCCGTTTCCTCTAGTCCTATCCCTGCCCACCACTGAAAAGAGGCCGCCCCCCTCCTCCTCACTGCCTCCCTTGAGGTATTTATACACGCTGATCAGGTCCCCCCTCAGCCTCCTCTTCTCCAGGCTGAACAGRCCCAGCTCCCTCAGCCTTTGCTCACAGGGCAGATGTTCCAGGGCCCTGATCATCCTGGTAGCCCTGCGCTGGACTCTCTCCAGCAGCTCCACATCCCTCTTGTCCTGGGGAGCCCCTAAGGGGTCCTCCTCAGAACTGCTCATTGAACCCACTGAATGCTGAACACATGGTCCGCGCAGAGCAGCTTCACAGAGGCAGCCGCAGCGCTCGTCGTGCAACTCTTGGAGGTCTTGACACCACGTCAGTGGAGGCCTCAAAGCGCCCTGGAAAACACTCAGAAAACACCTGGAAAATCTAAAACTGATTTCATCCTTCAATGTACGAGGATCTGGCATAAAGACCTGAGGCCCTCTCCTCCCACCCAATTCTTTTAGGCAATGAATCTTAGAAGAATATTTTCATGGAAAAAAATGGGAAAAAAATTCATTTTCATGGGAGAAATTTCTGTCCAAAGGCTTAAAGTGTTTCACTGCTAAGGGCTGTGCAGGTTAGAATCCCACCGAGTCCAAAGGAGGGCATGTCCAAAGGGCACTGAGGCCGGGAAGGGGCTGCAGCTCARACCTGGAGCAGCGGCTGAGGAGCCGCCGTTATTTAGCCTGGAGAAGAGGAGGTGCCGGGGAGACCCCATCGCTCTCCGTGGCTGCCTGAACGGAGGCTGCAGCGAGGCCGGGGCCGAGCTCTCCTCCAGAGGAACCGCRGATAGGACAAGAGGGAACRGCCTCACGAGGCACCGCGGGAGGCTCAGTTGGACATGAGGAGGATTCCTACACGGACGGGCAGAGCGGAGCAGCCTGGGGACAGGCTGCCCAGGGAAGCGCTGGGSTCTCAGGACACGGGTGGATGARGYGCTTGGGAACAGGGTTGAGCCGGCAGCGTGCGGAGCGGCCTACGGCTGGAATCTACGATCCTGAAGGTCTGTTCCAACCAYAAYGATTCTGTGAGTCTGAGGGGGAAAGTCTGGCAAATCTTCCTGAAATCCACAGCTCTCTGTAGTCCGCATTCTGTAATACCTGTTCCAGAAACAGCAGCAGAAATATTTCTACCAGTATCAACATTTGTCACACCGCTGTAATTCACTGAATACAAGGCAGGAGCTAGAGACTGAATCTTTCCTCCTTTAATCTAAAACAAACCAGTTTCTGTCATGACAGCCAACATGAGCCTGACACACATCAAACCACTTGGCCCAGAACCGCTATCCGGGGCTGGAGAGACAGGAGAAACTCCTGCTGCCACCGACACGCCATGAATTCCTCGGGAAGAAACATCACAGCCCAGCCTGAAGAGAGATTCAGTGTCACCTAAGCTGGGCTTTKGGAGTGCTCCGGCATGAAAAATCGCAGCACCAAGGCTCCGAATTCCCCAAATTCCCCATGAGGAGCACGAAGCCACGTTCCAGTCAGGCTCAGCCTCCTCGTCGCTGCCTGAGCGCCGCGGCTCTAGTTGTGCGACGAGCTGCCCGTCCTCGTCCTCGCACGGCTCCCTGGGTCACCGCACGAGCCCTGAGGGCTGTCGGGACAGGACGAGCCTCCGCACAGACCGCTGTGCATTATCCCCGGTTAAACAGGAGTGTTGCTTGTGGGGCCATCTCCTCCTAGAGCTAAGCRCGTGCACCTTACTGAAAAAACGGAATTAATGATTTAAAACATCTCTAAACAGATCCAAGACAGAAGACCAATAGTAAGGAAAGAGCTAGACATGTATAGATAGCCAGCCAATAGTATGAAAAAAATTTCACGCTGAGGTGGGCTTCGGGGTTCTAGGTCCGTTATTTTTTCCCATAGGAAACTGAAAGTTGGAATAAACAGTTCATGGAGTCCTAGCACACACCACCCAGGTTTGCCCTGCTTCCTTCCCACCAACAAACATGTTTTCGGCYGCTGTCTGTTCGTGCTATTAATATTTCCTGCTTCTGCTTTCATTCTTACTCGCTCTTCTGTGGGAGCATCTTCCCCACAGTCCGCCCACCGTTGTGGGAAGAAAGATGCTCATTTACCTTCAGTTTCTCAGACRTTCTTCTAAACTGCTACCCGTTGTCTCATTTGTCTTCTCTTTCTAATTACAGTGGCTTTTTTTTTTTTTTTAATTGCTAACACTCTTTTGGCAAGAAATGCAACCTTGAAATGTGGCAGAGACAGTTTTAGAGCACAACAAACACTTATTTCCAAACGCAGGTTGGTGTTTGGAAACCTTTCACAGGAAAGGTTTCTGCTACAACACTGTCCCTGAGCTGCTCTGGCATTTAAATGTCAGCAGCGCCTCCTCTCTCCCAGTGGGAAAAAGGGGCAGGTTTTTATTTGCTTTTCACCTGTTTTCCCTCATTACTGCAGGCTCAGGAACGAGGGTGGAGTGTTATTTTCTGGTTTGTAAGGATTGATAAGGCAGGAACAACTCAAAGCGAACTCTGCTGCAACAACCRTTCCGATATGAGGATTCCGATGCGAGGGCCCTGTTGCTGCAGTGCTGCCTTCCCAAAGGCAAAATAAGAACCCAAACAAGCAAAAAGAACAAAAAAGCAAAACAGCAAACAACACAGCCCTGACCTAGACCACTAGCCTCCAAAACCAAAGCTTTCTGTGTCATGGAGCAGCTGGAAGCAGAGTTTGAGAAAGCAGATGGCTACAGAAGTTCAAATGGAGAGTTGTTAAAAAAAAAAAAAAAAAAAAGCCTCTGCAACTTCAGTCACTTTTTCTAGTCAGGCTAATAAGAAAAATTAAAATTAAAAAGAAAAAAAAGAGGGTGGGAGTGGGGCACCTCATTTACTGCAATAAAGCGTGGGAGGAAGTTAACTCATTTCTCGCTAAATATTGCTTTCACCAAGTCCCTGGAATTCAAATGCAAAGGTTGAAGAGACAGCCCTTTTCAGTGCTGCTTAAAAACAGAAGAGAACAACCAGTCCCTCAGCCTCTACCGAATAAAGCCTGCACCTCCTAAGAGACACATAGATGCTAATTGCTGGAATCATACTAATATCTGTGATAAAGGAGGGATGCGACAGCCTCATGAAGCACTAGTTTGGTCAAAGAACACTTTTCAAAAGCAATATGAAGAACGAAGCATCATCAGCCCCGAGCAGAGGCTGCTGTAGCTGAAGCTGTGAAGTTTGCTACTCCATAAACTGAAACCAGTTCTGTTGTTTAGGGACAGCTTAATGAATACATAGCTAGTGCTACAGCACTACAGTTATGGTACCAGCGTACCAGGTACCATCAGCAGCACACCTGGAAACACACCTGGTTAGGGCCGGGAAGAGCAGTCAGCAGGAAGCCACAAAGCCTGGAAGCTACAAAGACTTAAACAGCAATTTACAAGTATAGCAGCAATTAGCAATTTAGATATCTATCTGAAGTATTCTGAGCAATATAGAAACACACGGGGAAGATGTCTGTAGGATAATGTTTCTTTAAAGCATATCCAGCAACTAATCTATGCAGTAATGGCAAAAAGGGGCAAGTCAGGTAAACCAGAAATAACCCAAGTGTAACGAAAATACCATTTAGGGCCATCTGTGTAAGATGTGTAAGAAATATTTAGGCTGCAAGCACTGTACCGTGGCAAGGTCTTTAGAGCAATGGTATAGCATAAGCARATCTACAAGTGTAAGGAAATGCAAAAATAGTATTCAAAATAACCAACAAGCCGAGTCAGAGTTCACGCAGGTTTCAAGGGGCAGAATACCCTTTTTGTACAGCTCTGTACCAAGAACAGGAACATCACAGGCTGTTCCTTCCGAGGAGAGAAAGGACTGTTCTAAAACATTTAGTGTAATCACTCTTTAATGAAACACTGAACTTCAAGTGTTACAAAGATATGGTATTAGAGTTCTACTATAAGTTTAAGGACTAGCCATTAATAGGAATTCTAAAGGTTTAGTAAAAAATATAGATCATAAGTTACTGCAACAAAACAATCACATTTTTTTTTTCATTTTTCAAAGAAAACCAGCAGCATCTACTGGTGTTTACAGACAAAATAAAGTACAGAGAGAATTTCTTTCTCCATACAGTACTCCAACAAGTAGCACTGCCACTAACACTGATTCCATGCATCTAAAATAAGCACAGAGAGAATTTTACACCCTGCATATAGCACTAATTTCAGCTTTCGTACAGCCCCACTTGCAACACGTTCCTGCCAAGCCCAGAGGTTCCCGTTTTCTTCTGGGATACTTGGCCCAGGGGAAACTGCTTGTTCCCATTGGGTCTGCGATTCCTGTTCCTCCCCTGCCCCTCTGAGCAGCTTCTTCTACCTGGCGAAGGAGCTCTTTGAAGTCGTCCGACACGGGCACGTACTCGTTATAGTCACTCGAGCTGTAGAAGTCCTTGAATGTCTCCCATCCGAGCAGGGGGCTGCTYCTCTGCAACTGCTCCAGGTCAGGATCCAGAATCGACTGCAGATTTAGGTTTCCCAGTAATTTGTTACTTGCYGTTTCAACAAAATCTGTTTAAAAAGTTAAAACATAAGGAGCTCTAGAAGCAGACACAAAACACATTCATCTTGCAATACACAAATCACTTTTACATAATAATAAAAAAGTAAATGCTGCAGAGTGTCTATTTCACGATTTATTTATACCTTACCTGTGGGGCAATCTTTAGGTTTAAGTCTTTGCTGCTCGGGTGATCAGGAGGGGCAGGCTGGACATGGGGAGGCCCTGACAGAAGGGTGCCCAGGGTGGAGAGATCCCCCCTGCAGCGACCGTGTTGCTGGTTTGGGTGCATCACTGCACGGAGCAAAACTACTCCACCCGAGTAAAGTTTTGCTGTAAAGGCACTGAAGCCCGAAGTTTTGCCCTGTGACTTTGGAATTAGAGCAGAGCACCTTGCCTCCCATCCAAGCCTGCAAGCCAGTGCCATGTGAAGAACAAAGAGGGATAAAAGGACCCAATGTTTGATTAAAGCAGGAGTTTTTACACAAGCTCCCTCTTACACATCGCATTTGCCAGCAGCGGTTCTCAGCAGCTGCTTTACTCCTTTCTCCAGGTCTACCGGATCCACTTGGAAACACACTCGGTCCCCTGGACCCCGGCGCTGTCAGAACAGGGCTCCAGCCCCATCCGCACCCACCGCTTCCCTTGTTTCCACTAGTACCGAGCTAAGGGCGCTGCTCACTTCAGCTCCGGCGGGGAGCGACAGCTTCTTCAACGCTTAGATTAAAAAATAAAGGTGAACAGGTGAACACACAAAGTAACTGTCAGTCCTAAGCCCGCCTAGCTGTACCTGCCCTCCCCCGGCGCGCCGGGCGGCTGGGAGCACGCGAGTCGGTTTTAGCGAGGACCATTCCAAAGTTTAAGGGAGGAAGGGGAGCGGGAAGCGCGGGGCCCGGCTACTCACCGTGCGCGGGCGGCGGCTCGAGGGCGAGCAGGGAGAGGCGCTTCCAGCGGGAGCCGCCGCACGTGAAGATGACGGCGCGGATGAACTCCCGCCCGCAGAGCTTCACGGCGTAGCCCTCGCCCTCGCCCGGCGCCGCGCGCCCGGGCAGCGCCGCGCTCAGCAGCGCCACGGCGCCGCACAGCAGCCGCAGCCTCGCGCCCATGGCCCCGCGCTGGTGGCGCCCAACGGCCGCCGCCCTCGCGCCCAACGGCCGC